GAACAAGCAGAGATAGTTGGACGACGGTTACGTAAAATGAAATTTGATCATATTTACACTAGCGATTTGTCCCGAGCCAAGAAAGTAAGAGAAATAAATTCTTGAAAACTTGTTATTGTTTAAGCAATTATCTTAATTTACTTTCTTTTTTTAGACAGCAGAAGCCATCGTTAAACATCATCCGGACACGCCATTCACTGAAGATTTTCGACTTCGAGAACGCGTAAATATTTTCTCGTAAATGTCAAACTATTCCAATTATATTTTTAATTATAAATTTTGATTATTAGGATAAAGGAAAACTTAGTGGAAAGTCGATTCAAGATGCCTTAAATTTAGTTAAAGAGGAAGGCACTACATATGGCGATTATGGTGAACCTGAACAAGATTTTAAAGCCAGGGTGGTCGACTTCTTCAATGATATAATTACAAAACATTTACCAAAAAATGATGACCCTGGTTCATCTCCATCAAATAAACGGAATTCTCATATTCTCTTAGTTACACACGGTGGTGTTATACGTAAACTTATCAAGGAATATCTCATTGCGGATTTAGATTTCTCTGTTAATAATTTAAATATGAACCATTCTGCTAAAAATACTAGTGTTACAAAATTCGTTGTTAGAAGAGCTGAAAGCTTAAATTCGACTGTGAATGACGATGATGCCACTAGTGTTTTTTAATAGCAATACTGCCGAAAATGAAAGCAATGATTGTGATTCTGAAAAAAATAGAGATATCGAACAAATGATCAAGATAAAGGGTGAAATTACTCTCTGGAGTTGTGTGTCACATTTGGCTACTCAAGGCAAAAGAGCACTCAGTGATTCTCACATTAAAATGTTTGATTTTATGAAAGTTTAAGCAGAAGATACAATCAATTATATACGATTTTAAATATGAAAGAAATTGTTAAAAAAAAAATCCTTGGATTATTTGCTCATTAATACTATATTAATCTTTGTGATAATCATATAGCTTTACATTTCATTCATTGTAAATGTAGATAACACTTTTTTCGCATTAATTGTTGATCTAAAAAAAAA